GTACTAATGATTGTTTTTGTTATCCTGCTCAGTTTGGAATTTGAACGTTAAATCAATAGAGACAACATTCAAATGTTCACAAATATCCACTAAATCAATATGAAAGGTTAAAAAATCTCAATTTGAGATACTAATTTGTGACAATCTAAACAAACAGGCCTGTTAATTTTTGTTGTCACTGAACTTATTCCAAAGCAAGTTAGATATAATCATTCATGTGACAATTTCATTTTTTCCCCCTGACATTTTGTTCCAGTTCTATGATACATTAGTCCTACCCTGCATGCCACTGCAGGGTTGTAAGAGGTTACAACTAGCGTGTGTACTCTATAGCCTTCTCTGTCCTCAGCTCACGGGACATTGGTATGACAAAAGAGGATCCTCACTGCAATTTGTGAATCTTTATCTTTTCTCTACTTGGTTACGATCATTTCTCTGGTGTCTGCCTGATCATCATACTGGCCAGTAACATTTTACAATACTGAAAAACAAGAGAAACGTGAAATAGGCACTGGTTTGCATATTTCAATGTCACGTTGCGTATTTTATTTTCCTGTAAAGCACTTTAGCACTGCAACAGCTAAGCGTTACCTGATTATATTTTAATATTTTTCTATGTATCAAATTTCAGCAGAAACATCAGCATGATGAACTTCATGATTCCTTATTGTTAATTTTCAAATCAATGTTATTGATAATTATTTTTAAAAATTTGTTTTGAATTTTTTGTGTCTCAGTTTGTCTTCAGATGGTCAATTTATATCCTTAATCATGGCAATGGAAGCTAAAGGTTCTAATATTCAAAAAGATATTTCAGATGAATGTATTGATTTGTCATTAACCATGCAAGCTTTAAGTAATAGAGTTCTGGTAATACATGTATAGCTATTGATGTATAGGTAGCTATGATGTCAAGCTAACCAAACTTTAAACAGCTGGACTGTGGTAATATAGACAAAGATGTACAGGTAGCTTTGTCCTGTTGTAATCTATGATGTCAAGCTAACCAAACTTTAAACAACTGGACCATGGTAATATAGACAAAGATTTACATGTAGCTGTGTCCTGTTGTAATCTATGATGTCATGCGAACCAAACTTTAAACAACTTGACCCTGGTAATATAGACAAAGATGTACATGTAGCTTTGACCTGTTGTAATCTATGATGTCAAGCTAACCAAACTTTAAACAGCTGTTTCCTGGTAATATAGATAATGATGTATAGGTAGCTTTGTCCTGTTATGATCTATGATGTCAAGCTATCCAAACTTTAAACAGCTGGACCCTGGTAATATAGTCAATATTGTACAGGTAGCTTTGTCCTGTTGTAATCTATGATGTCAAGCTAACCAAACTTTAAACAAATGGATCCTGGTAATATAGACAATATTGTACAGGTAGCTTTACCTGTTGTAATCTATGATGTCAAGCTAACCAAACTTTAAACAACTGGACCATGGTACTATAGACAATATTGTACAGGTAGCTTTGCCTGTCGTAATCTATGATGTCAAGCTAACCAAACTTTAAACAGCTGGACCCTGGTAATATAGATAATGATGTATAGGTTAAGCTTTGTCCTGTTGTAATCTATGATGTCAAGCTAACAAAACTTTAAACAGCTGGACCCTGGTAGTATAGATAATGATGTATAGGTTAAGCTTTGTCCTGTTGTAATATATGATGTCAAGCTAACCAAACTTTATACAACTGGACCATGGTAATATAGATAATGATGTACAGGTAGCTTTGCCTGTTGTAATCTATGATGTCAAGCTAACAAAACTTTAAACAGCTGGACCCTGGTAATATAGATAATTATGTACAGGTAGCTTTGCCTGTTGTAATCTATGATGTCAAGCTAACCAAACTTTAAACAACTGGACCCTGGTAATATAGACAATATTGTACAGGTAGCTTTGTCTGTTGTAATCTATGATGTCAAGCTAACCAAACTTTAAACAGCTGGACCCTGGTAATATAGATAATGATGTACAGGTAGCTTTGCCTGTTGTGATCTATGATGTCAAGCTAACCAAACTTTAAACAACTGGACCCTGGTAATATAGATAATTATGTACAGTTAGCTTTGTCCTGTTGTGATCTATGATGTCATGTTAACCCAACTTTAAACAATTGGACCCTGGTAATATAGACATTATTGTACAGGTAGCTTTGTCCTGTTATGATCTATGATGTCAAGCTAACCAAACTTTAAACAACTAGACCCTGGTAATATAGATAATGATGTAAATGAAGGTAGCTTTGTCCTGTTATGATCTATGATGTCAAGCTTACCAAACTTTAAACAACTGGACCCTGGTAATATAGATAATTATGTACAGTTAGCTTTGTCCTGTTGTGATCTATGATGTCATGTTAACCCAACTTTAAACAATTGGACCCTGGTAATATAGACATTATTGTACAGGTAGCTTTGTCCTGTTATGATCTATGATGTCAAGCTAACCAAACTTTAAACAACTAGACCCTGGTAATATAGATAATGATGTAAATGAAGGTAGCTTTGTCCTGTTATGATCTATGATGTCAAGCTTACCAAACTTTAAACAACTGGACCCTGGTAATATAGATAATTATGTACAGTTAGCTTTGTCCTGTTGTGATCTATGATGTCATGTTAACCCAACTTTAAACAATTGGACCCTGGTAATATAGACATTATTGTACAGGTAGCTTTGTCCTGTTATGATCTATGATGTCAAGCTAACCAAACTTTAAACAACTAGACCCTGGTAATATAGATAATGATGTAAATGAAGGTAGCTTTGTCCTGTTATGATCTATGATGTCAAGCTTACCAAACTTTAAACAACTGGACCCTGGTAATATAGATAATTATGTACAGTTAGCTTTGTCCTGTTGTGATCTATGATGTCATGTTAACCCAACTTTAAACAATTGGACCCTGGTAATATAGACATTATTGTACAGGTAGCTTTGTCCTGTTATGATCTATGATGTCAAGCTAACCAAACTTTAAACAACTGGACCCTGGTAATATAGATAATGATGTAAACGAAGGTAGCTTTGTCCTGTTGTGATCTATGATGTCAAGCTAACCAAACTTTAAACAACTAGACCCTGGTAATATAGATAATTATGTACAGGTAGCTTTGTCCTGTTGTGATCTATGATGTCAAGCTAACCAAACTTTAAACAACTGGACCCTGGTAATATAGATAATGATGTACAGGTAGCTTTGTCCTGTTGTGATCTATGATGTCAAGCTAACCAAACTTTAAACAACTAGACCCTGGTAATATCCTATAAATATGAAATATGATGATGCAGGTTTTGTTTAAGCAGGTTCACTATTTATTGATAGGATTCAACGTTTGTGACTTTTCTACCTTTGTTAGTTTTACAGTATCTGTTCTAAGTGTACAAAAGAGTACGGAACATCCGATGAAAGGCAGGCAAACCCAAACACAAATAATTCAAATGCAAAAATGAAAAATACAATGTTATAATATAGCATTGAATTACAAGTAAAAAGTATTTCCAGCAAATTTACATCTGTGGCATTAATAAATTGCAAGGTAAAATAACTGCATCAACAGATTTCATTTCATGACAACAGCAAAATGGATAAATGTTTGATGATCCTGTTGTGTAAACCCTTCTGGTTGTATTCCATCCTCAGTCCCTTTGTGTGTGTTTATACTGTGGATAGAAAACTGAACTGATTTGTATTCCAACTTCAAAAGATGAAAATGTTGGTGTTTGTAATGTCACAGTGGTGTAATAAATCCGTAAACCATTCAGTCTTAATGCCAAAAAAACGGTGTGGGTGTGACTGTGGGGGGATATATGACACGGCGATCACCCTAGTTCTTATTGAATTCTACGAGTTCTAGGACAGATTATCATTGAACTGTTCATTTCATAGCCTTGTTTCGTGTACCTATCAATAAGTGTAATTTGATTATGAACGAATTGGTGGTATCATTAATGGCTTCTTAATAGGTTTTTGTATGACTTTATTTATAAAGTCACAGCATTTCACTAGCGTTCATTGGGTTGTTTGGCCGACAGATATTGAAAAATGCCCGTTTTAATCAAATCAAAATTATTGTGATATGACGTGTATTTAAAAGTTTTGATATTGACTTAAAACAGCCTGAGTTACTTCTAAGAGGCCGGGGTAGTGTGTCAGTTACAGCGACAGCTGTGGTTACTTGAAATAAAGACGAGAACTTTCAGGTGATAGATACTTAAGACTGTGTTCTCATCAGTAACTGTGTTCTCATCATAATTGTTATATGTACCAATTAACATATATACATATTAATATAAACATGAATTGTATCTCTGTAATAAGCTGGGACTTGCAAGACCCAACCCCTACATAAAGTACATGTATTATTAATTTGATTGATGCAAATTCCATTTTGAAATTGAGTTTGTAATGATGTAATATTTTAAACATCGGAAACACTATTGCTTTATTGATTTAGAGAATCTGGGCTTTTCTATTGGACAAAGCTTTGGACAGGTTGCCGGTGGGTCAGAATTTAGCTCCCTTGTCAGAGCTTGTGACAGCGTCAGTTTAACCCGGAACAGTATTGGAGGACACCAGCTACTGAGGCCCTGATGTCGTACTTTGTACAATGTCACTTCACATTGACAGTGAGAGTGATATAGACATCTGATCACTAGTATTGATAAAGTCTATTGGATACATAGCTTTGATGCTGTCGGCCGGCCGTTTGTGTTCACCATGTCAACTCATTGTGGGATAGTTATAAAGTTCAAAACCAGCTGTTTGTATTGGGTGGTGACCACAGGAAATCTTTGATCAGTCCTCATCATTTGATGTACATGTCATTTACTGTGACCACTGGCTTTGTGTGTGTAATATTGTGTAAGTAATAGATTCTGTGATTATATCTTTAGAAACTTTTTCCAGTATCTTATATCAGACAGACTGCTTTTAACACTGTACATTACAGTATAATTGCTTCAGAAGAATTAAGACTGTTTATTTTCTAATTGACTGAATTCTTTATGCCTGATATTTGGAACAAATGGACATAAAACAAAGCAGTAAGTATATAACTCCATATTCTGTTGGCCATTTCCTGCAGTTGTATTACATTTGCTTGTGGTTTATTACTGAGTCACTCTGATAGTTGTCACCAGTTGGAGACATTTAGCTGTTAGCAGTAGGACACATCTAATGGGATTTTACTGAGAGCTGACAGCAGTGGAAGACAGATCATGATGTCTTACTGACAGTTGTCTCCCTTTATAGTCATTTAGTTTTGTACATTTTCGTAAGAGTTTCTTTATATTAAGCTTCCCTCAATATCTTTAATGAGGTCGTAGTGGTACTTTATTTAGATGAACATAAAACAGTTTGTTCATTTTAAATTGTAATTACCCAAGGTTAGGTGAAAATATTAAAACGATTATATCAGTTTCTGATATGACAATTAACTTTTAAGCAACACAATAAGAATGTAATTAGAGGCGTGTAACAATGATTAGATAGTGTGTTACAAAAACTTGGTACTTTGTGTGACCAGTTTACCATTGAGGTGATCAACGGAAACATGTTTCCGAATTCACTGCTGTCTCTCAATGCCACTTAGGTAAAACTTTTACAGATAACATTTCCGGGAGTTTGATGTTTGTATTTCTTCAGTGCTAGAAATTTAGAAAAAAGAATGGTTTTATTCTGAAATAGATGAATTTATTTTTATGTTAATTGCGTGGTATTCCTATGAACCAGGGTGTTGAGCAAGTGTTACTATGTTTTGTGGTCGTTGATGACTATGTATTGATTAAAGATATATATGACTTTACCAGATTGTCCGTCAACGTAACTGTCAACTTGGATTTGGTTATGGGATGCATGTTGTTGAGACCAGTGGAACACTAGGACACAGAAGGCGGGAGTAGTCTCACACAGCCTCTGAACCGCCATGCTACAAGTGGCTGTGCTGTCTGGGGCCCTGCTTATCTGGCTCCTGTGGCTGCCTGTTAATGGCAGATTATGTGATTTTAATTCTGATGATTGTCAGTGGAAAATACAAACAAATGATCCTCACCATACAGGAATGACATCTAGATTGAAGGAATTTGTTATAAGTACTAGACAGGAAGTGGGAAAGTTTGGTGTCAACAGATCTATTCTGGATATTAACCCATTAATCCCAAAAGGTAAAGTATGTCAGCTTTTATTTTATCCCCAATATTACAGAGCATTACAACTTTTTCATTCAAACTAAAGGTGGGCTCCTCTTACTGTATTTACTCGAATAAATCCAGGTAAGTGATAAGAACTGAAACTTTGCAGTACTTTGTCTTGTAAACCATAATGGTTACTTGATCTAGGGTGTCCCATTGTATCTTGACTACTGCTTGAATTAATTGGCCTTGAAAAGTTAAGGATCCCTGTACCACTTCTAAGAACTATAACTTCACGATGTGGAAACTGGGTTTTTCTGGCATGGCTTAAGCTTTAATAAATCATTTCTGAAAAGAAAATCATACCTTTTGGGACTTTTCTGAATAAATAATAAAGATGAAATAAACAAAATGTAGTAAGCAGCAGTGTTGTTGGTGTGAAAATCAAGCCCTTGACTTCAGATTGCTATATTATATCATTTTAACCAATTAAGCTACCTAGTTATCATAACTTTTTGGCTCAGCTGTGCTACAGTCATATCCAAAACCAAATTAAGAGGGGGGTATTTAATGCAGCACAGCACAGTGGTACATGGATCCTTAAATAATGTCATTTTCTCAATATTCATATCAAGATTAATTTAAGGTTGAAAACATTTTGAAATCATTCTCGGAAATGCTGCAGAAAAATATTTTACAGCATCATAAATATATGACTGCATGGTAGCACAGTGGATATAAGCTCAATTACCTGCAAACGGTTCAAGTTCAGGGAGTGAATTCAGATGGGAGAGATGTTGTGGAAAACAAGAGGCCCAGAGGGCCTGTTTCGCTCACATGAATATGTTTAAAATAATTGGTAGGTGCTGTAAGTACATATGAAATTTTCAGAAAGATCCATCCAGTACTTGAGATATAGCGAAAAAACAAACTTCAAACAGAGCCCCACCCCTATGCCCCTAAGGGGATCATACCCACCATTTATACAAAATTGAGTCCAAGGATGCTCCAGACTAAATAAGGATAAAATCCCATTATCCCGATGGTCGAAGAAGGATTTTAAAGGTTTTACCTTTATTTCTCCTACTGGGCCTCGCCCTTCTGCCCCCTGGGAGACCACACCCACTCCTTATACAAAATTGAGTCCCCTTGGCCCAAGGATGCTCCAGACTAAATTAGGATAAAATCCCTTAATCCCTATCGTAGAAGAAGGAGTTTAAAGGTTTTACCACTATTCCCCTATTGGGCCCCACCCTTTTGCCCCCAGGGGGGGCCACACTCACTGTTTATACAAAATTGAGTCCCTTTTGCCCAAGGATGCTCCAGACTGAATAAGGATAAAGTCCCTTAATCCTGATAGTCGAAGAAGGATTTTAAAGGTTTTACCTCTATTCCCCTATTTGGCCCCACCCTTCTGCCCCCAAGGGGGCCCACACTCACTGTTTATACAAAATTGAGTCCCTTTTGCCCAAGATCCTCCATACGAAATTGGGAAGAAATCCTTTCATCCCTATGGTAGAAGAAATATTTTAAAGGTTTACCTCTATTATCTCTATTGGGCCCCGCCCTTCTGCCCCTTGGAGACCACACCCACTGCTTATACAAAATTGAGTCCCCTTGGCCCAAGAATGCTCCAGACTAAATTAGGATAAAATCCCTTAATCCATATGGTAGAAGAAGGATTAAAAAGGTTTTACTTCTATTCTACTACCCATAGTTTACAAAATTGGTTCCCCTTTACCCAAGGATGCATCACTCCAAATATAGACCAAATCCTTTCATTTCTACAGAAGAAATAGGATTTTAAAGAACAATTTGCTATGTTTCCCCTATTGGGCCACGCCCCTCAGGCCCCTGGGGGGCCAGATCCAAGGTTTATACAAATTTTGTTCCCCTTCACACAGGGATGCTTCAGACTAAATATGGAACAAATCCTTTCATTCCTACAGAAGAAGAAGGATTTTACAGAAATTGCATTATTTCTCCTACTGGGCCCTGCCCCTCAGGCCCCTGGGCCAGACCCACGGTTTATACAAAATTGGTTCACCTTTACCCAAGGATCCTTCCGACCAAATATGGAACAAATACTTTCATTTCTACAGAAGAAGAAGGATTTTACAGAAATTGCTTTATTTCCCCTATTGGGCCCCGCCCCTTAGGTTCCTGGGGCAGCCAGATCCACGGTTTATACAAAATTGGTTCCCTTCACCCAAGGATGCTTCAGACCAAATATGAAACAAATCCTTTCATTCCCACAGAAGAAGGATTTTAAAGAATATGCTATATTTCTCCTATTGGGCCCTGCCCCTCAGGCCCCAGGGGGGCCAGACCCACGGTTTATACAAATTGGTTCCCCTTTCCACAAGGATGCTTCAGAACAAATATGAAACAAATCCTTTCATTTCTAATGAAGAAGAAGGATTTTACAGAAATTGCTTTATTTCCCCTATTGGGCCCCGCCCCTTAGGTCCCTGGAGCAAATCCTTTCAGACCCTGCAGGTAGGGCGTAAGAATTGTACCTGCTGCCCCCAATTGCATGATCGTAAGAGGCAACTAAATTTGGGACCTTATCTCTTCTCTCCTTTCTAAATAACTTACTTCTTCCTAATGTCTCCCTTGACAATGCCACACTTTTGGCCATTTTTTGAGCGTTCGCCCCTGTGAGGAAGGCTTTGGGTTCTGTCCCCTGGCCGAGACATACCAAAGTCTTTAAAAATGGTAGTTTATACTCCTGCTTAACGCTCAGCAAATTAGGAGTGGGACGACTGGTTCGCCCGTTGTCAGTATAATGTGACCGGGTGGGGCGTCCTGCTGGGTGTCTTCGGCAGTATGTTTCAGTGAGGTAGCACTATAAAGTCGGCATCAGTTCCGCGCTATCACAAGGAGACAAACACGAACATATCGCAGCCTCCCAAAATACACACACATACACTACACGCATGCATCTTGCACACAGGGGAGGCCGTCCTTAAATGACCTTAGCTGTTAATAGGACGTTAAACAAAATCAAACAGACAAACAAACAGCAAATCCTTTCATTTCTACAAAAGAAGAAGGATTTTAAAGAATTTGCTATATTTCCCCTTATATTGGGTGGGCCCCGTCCCTCAGGCCCCAGGGGGCCCAGACTACATTAGGATAAAATCCTGTAATCCCTACAGAAGAAGAAGGATTTTAAAGGTTTTATTTCTATTTCCCCTATAGGGCCCTGCCCCTCTGCCCCAAGGGGGGCCACACCCACCGGTTATACAAAATTGAGTCCTGTTGGCCTAAGGATGCTCCAGACCAAAATTACCGTAAGGAAAAGTTGCTGGACGGAACCTGGACACTGCAGTATGGCATAAGCTCACCATGGTCCTTCGGACCAGGAGAGCTAAAAAAAAAACCAGATTTTTTTTCCCTCTAAATATCCCATTTGCTATCGTTAATGAGCAAGCAACTCCTAATCATGAAATTGCTAAACAAATTGAAACCATTCTTTGTTAGAGACACACCGAAAGCACTGGGACTCTCTGGGTTTAAACTGTAAACTCGGGTATGTACTGTAAACCCTTAAATATGTGTTTAACAAGAAGGCCAGAGGGCCTGTATTGCTCACCTGGAAAGGTTAGTAAAATTGAGTTTGGAATAGCTAGATGTTGCTGGTAGTGTACATGTATTACATTTTTTGCCATAGCCGTCTCCGGATGAACACTGCGGGAATTGTCTTCCTTAAACGCTGACTGCACCTCATGCATTTTACTGCTGACTTTGGCATTTTGCTTATACTGCTCCTCGTTCCCCTTTCTCTTAAAAGTATAAGCGGATATTTCCGACATTTTTGAAATTTGAACGTCTGCTATTTGCCTCTGAGATTCACCAATCTTCTCATTAAAAGCCTCCAACTTAGTAGACATTAACTCCTCTAGTTGCATCAACAAATTACTCTGCAAACTTGCCGACTCCATGATATCTCCAAGCTGTACTACGCCGTCGAGGTGCGAAGCTAGAATGAACATACACGTACCCGTAAGCTACCCTTAGCATGTGCCTCAATCTAATTGGTCAAAACCTCTGCGCGAGACAGGCAACTGCCCTCATATACTCCGTGTATACAGGACAAATATTTCCCGCTATTCTCCGAAACGCGGGAAAGTAATATTCTTTTGGTTTAAATCCCTTCACTTGTATAGCAGGAGGGAAAAAAATCTATTTCCCCATGTGGTCCGGCCCCTCCACCCCCAGAGGGGCCACACCCTCCGTTTATACAAAACTGAGAACCCTTTGGCCAATGATGCTCCAGACCAAATTTGGTCAAAATCCCTTCATCGGTACAAAAGGAGAAGGATCTTAGATGTTTACCTCTGTTTTCCCTAATGGGCCCCACCCATCTGGGTCTAGAAGGGGACCCACACACTTCAGTTTATATAAAATTGATTCTTTTGTCCCTAAGCATGCTTCGACTGCATTTGGTTTAAATCCCTTCACTTGTATAGTAGGAGAGAAAAAAATCCTCTATTTCCCCTATTGGGCCCGGCCCCTTCGCCCCCATAGAGGCCACAACCTCCGTTTATACAACCTTGAGTCTCCTTTGTCCAAAGATGCTCTAGGATAAATTTGGTCAAAATCCTTCTATTGGTTGAGAAGAAGAAGTTTTTTTTAAAGATTTACCTATTTTCCCTATATTTGACCTTGGTCCTTTGGACCCGGTGAGCTAAAAAAGGGATAAAGTTAATTTTATGTCAACCAGAAACAAATAATTATTAAACTTGACTGAAATTTTAAAACAGTTTTGACCAGCACAATATACAATGGAACCACATTCAATATTACCCAATCTGTAAATTAAAAAGTCTCATTGTTAAATTTCTGATGGAAGATTGTTTCCTTTTTTTGTTTCCAGTAAGGGTCAAGGTCTCAGCAGAAAAGCATAATCCCTTAAATAAGACACATTGTCTTTTAATTAACCGACTTAATTTACAGATAGTGTTTAGAACTCTTATTGTGGTGATATATAATATTAGTTTTAAGGTCCAGTTAACCATGGTTTAGTG